CAGCTAACTGGGCAGAAATGTAATTCCCTCGCTGATCCCAATCAGCTTTCTTTTCCCAAGTGCTGTAGTAATAATAACTTGGAACCAGAGCCTTACAGACAGCTAACAGATTGAGTAACCTTAACAAATACGTACATCACAACCCACCAGGAATCACAACAGAATTTGGGTACAGTAGTTTCAATACTCTGACGTAGTAAAATAAGGCTGTGACTGTTTATGTCAGCTGATCCATTGATAAAAATAATATCAGTGATTTCAGCTTCATTTAGCCTTTTCACCACTACCACTTCTAGAACCCCAGGGATAACTGTATTTCAAGAAAACAAGTAGACTTTTCTAATGTTTGGCAAAGTGAGTTGTCTTTTGTAAAGCAATCACAGCCCTAAACATGGGGTGGTGTCTCATTCTTACAAAAAGCCTTTTAAGACTAACTGTCAGATTCAGCCCCACCTTGTTCAGTTATAAGAAAGCAAATGGCCTGCAAAGGAAACCTGCTTAAAAGTCTCCCAGCAGGCACTTTGGTTACTACCCAGTATGAATTACAAATTAAGTAATAGGAAAAGGGAAGAAATAACAGGCTGCAATAATGTTAGGCCTAAGCTAGTCCACTTCTTCTTAGAATCATACTAACACCAAGATAAAACTTTAGTGTGGATTACTTGAATGAGTTGAGCTACATGGGAACATTTGTGAAGTCACATCGCTCTGTGATCTCTTTATAAAGATATAACTATCAGAGTCTTCAGTAGGCTAATGCAAGTGAGGTACCATTTAAAGCATCAGAGCTCAAAGAAACTTGCAAAACTGATTGAAAGACCTACTTAATTACCTGCTTAAATATGAATGTTAATTATTGAACACAGGTAGATTGCAAAATGTACCTTTCCTCACCCACTCCAGTGTTATTATAATTGAATAAACACTGCTGACAAATCATGAATAACCACGAGCAACAGACTTGGCAGAAAAAGCTGATCTCCCAGAAGACTCTGGGAATCTTACCCTTGTGCATGCACAGTTTGTCAGGGATTTGTCCAGTTTGTGCGTGAACACAATGCATCATTTTGGTCAGGCTTGCTTGCTCCCGAACACCTTCTTACCTAAATGAAGACAGTGTGCTGCTGTTGTATCTTTCAGAGGCCACAAGATTTACACACAATACTGAGCCACACTCTCTTTGCAGATGACTCTCTTCACCAAGACACCGCTATTCCTGTGCTGGAGGTTTCCACCTGACAGCAAATCGATTAATCCCACCAAATGTTGACTGTGTGACCCATTAACCCAGCAAAGATTTTAGCAACTGGGTGCCATTTTAATGAAGAACAAAACGAAATTATCAACCATGAGGTCTACTGAGATATAAGGAGAAATAGAGACCATTAATCACTTCATTCCCACAGAATATTTAGAAACTTCCCCAAAGTAATTTGGTGGCTCTTTTCTAGCCTGTCCCCTTTTTCTGTAGTATGATCTGTCTTTGCAAATCGGATTAGATTGCCATCCTGGATGAAAACCTCTGCCTCATGTCTTCCTAACATAATTTTTAGTACAGTATAGACCTTGGCTTTGTACAGTCCTGGCACACATTTTTAATGTGGATCTCTGTTTGCCTCTACAATATTAAACTAATTGGATGAAAATAATAAAGGCAATTAGATGGCCCTAAGCTTCATGGGAGACTGTCTGACAAGGGAAAATATTTAAATTAAATCCCACAGGTTAATTTCACTCTCAGAACCTCTTCACATGAGAGGATTTCCACTGAAATGGGATGCTTCTCTTTTAACTGTTTCGTATTATCTTCTCTGGAATATGTAGAGATAAAGAAGCACTGGGCTTTTATCTTTCAGTAAGTCCTTGTTTCATTGTGGTGGTGATTTCATTCAATGCACTTTCCCAGTGCTTTGAACTAGGATTTCATGCTCCTTGGGGATGATGGGAAACACAGCGCAGTTTGGGATTTGGAATTAGCAGCATATTTTGCTGTTGGTCACTATAAATCTGCATTTTCCATATCCTCTCACATAAGCGTAAAAAGCCTACGATATGTCTTTTGCCCCAGAAGTTCACTGCTGTCTGACTCTGAACTTGTGGCTCAGGACAAAGTAGTGATTGATGTGGATAGATACAAGACATACTTCTGGGTACCCAGTTCTTGAGCAGTCAGAAGACAACGACAGCATTTCCTAGTTTATCTGCAGCAGAGCTTACCAAATCAAAGATCTGGAAGGGACCTCTAAGTTTCTCTGAGCTACCCATCTGACCCCAGGTTCAACTGTCCTCTTTCAGTCTTGACTCAAGCCTTCTAGAGACCTGCACTGGGGAAATCTCCGTAAAAGCAGGCTAAGAAGTCAGAGTTAAGAAGTGTCACTCACCTCTGAAAAACTTCACATTGGGTATGGCTCTTCCCAGGTTCAGGGAATGCAAGAGCAGAAGCACTTCTGTGGAGTAGGTCAGGTCAAAGGGCTGGCTAGCTCAGTGCTGTGCATCTAAAATGTTGAAATAGGGCACATATGTTGAAAAAGGCCTTATAAGGAATTTCTTCTCTTAGGGAGACTGTAGTCAGACTATCTTGCTTAATAATATCAATAGGTCTATTTTGTATTAACTTTGTAATTCCTTTTAAAAATTGTTTAGGCTTTCAACCTGCACAATATCCTGTCCCATTCAGGTTCATCATTCAGTCCTGAATGGAAAAAACCCTCTTCATTTTCTTGATTTAAAATTAGAGCCCTGAAGCCCTTTGACTATTGAATTGTGAAAAGTAATGGAAGGTTGTTCCTGCTCACCTTTCACAAACCGTTTGGAAGCTGAAGATTCCCACAACATTTAGTCTGCCATCATATGGGAGCCACTCTATGCAATTATTGTTCTGACAGCTTTCTCCTTCCTTGCTGTGCTCTTTGTGAAACTGTGCGATCAGAAATCTCTGTGGTATTCAAGATGGGAATTCATGGTAGATTTTTACAGGGGTATGGTAATTTTTTATTGTTATTTTCCTCTACTCCTTTTCTAACAATGCTAAATATATGCAATTTGGTTTTTTTTTGATGACCAAATATTGCTCCAAGACCACTTTCCTGAGCGGTAATACCTAATTTATGTCCTAATACTATGTATGTATAGTTCATATTATTCCCATCTGTGTTACATGGTACGTATTCACACTGAGTTTCATCTGCTGTTTTGTCACCAATTAATAAAATACAAGAATCTCTTTTGCACATCTTCCCATTCAGCTTTACTCTGAATATCTGTGCCATCTGCAGACATTGCCACTTCACTCTCTACCCTCTTGCATCTGGTACAGCAGAAGCTGCAGCATGGATTTCCACAGTAGTATCTGGTAACCAACCTCTGCTGCAAAACCTGGCCATTTATTCCTGTCTTTTATTTCTCACCTTTTAATTACTGGGGGGGGGGGCAGTTGTGTGGTGTGACAGTTTATCAGTTATACATTCTCTTTTCTCAAAAGGTTTAGTTTATTTGAGAAGCTTCTTGAAACCTTGGCAATCAAAATATAGTAGACAAAAAAAAAAAATCACTTATTTGTATGTTCACTCACTTTGTAAAAGACCCTAATATGCTGGTAACTCAAAAATTCCATTTCTAATAAGCATCTCAACCTTTCCCCAGTGTGCCATACTTTGGCTTTGTCTGCTAAATACATTTATTATCTTAGTTCCTACTAATTTACCTTGTAGAGGCTGAAGTGGAGGTTGATTGGAGAGGATTTTGCAGGAGAACTGGGAAACCAGGGGTGGCTGAATGACTTCAGACTCTCAAAGGGTATTTTCCTGGAAATAAGCCCATGGGAAACTCACAATATCTAGTAACTTCTTAATTACAAGGAGAATGACACTGAATGGACCACTGTGGCTGTGGGGCATGCTGCCATGAAGAGGTGTCTTCTCTGACTATGAGGAGGGTTGTCCAGCCATTGGAAGTTAGAGACAGCTCTGCAAAAATGCTGTTCCCTGTTTTAAGCACATACTGTTTGTGTTCCTACCAACCCACTGAATGTAGAAACAAAAGGAATATATTTGTTGTCTGATAGCAACAGCAATGTGAATCTGTTTGGGAAAGACTGTGATTGAATATACATAAACTATTATCCATTTTCCCTAATAAAAGAAAGGAAAATAAACCCAACCAAAAACCAACAAACCAACAGACCCAAACCAAAAAGTTTTCCAGTATGGTTACTAGTCTGAAGAGGAATGCTATTAGCTTTTTTCTTCTTATCCCTCTGCACTCATGGTTAAGGAAACCCTTAAGCCCTAAAGCTTTAAATAACCTACTATGTGAGAGGAGCTTTGTGTGATGGGGACTGGTAGGATCTATGCCTGCAAAGTTTTATGATCTATCTCAGCTTTGAGATGCTAGAGGGAAGGGGAGGCAAAGAGATGACAACTTTGAGTGACTATTCTTTACAGTAGTAATAATGACCCATTGATGATGCCCATGTACTGCCACACTATCTCCATAGCCACCAGTTGCCTTCCCTGTTATGCCCAGACTGTGCTTTGTTATCTGGAGGCTGTCAGATTGAAACTCCCTTTCTTTCTCTAGCACTTTTATACATTCCTTTCTTTGCTCTTACTGCTTTTACTTCCACTCATCCTTCACTTTCTCTAGTCTGAGAAACTCTGTATGAGAGAGCTGGAGACTCCCATGAGATCCCTGAACTTTGTTTCACTTTTTAGTTTTCAGTTTATTTAAAACTATGATGGTTAAGCCTGATGCCTCTAAGGGATGTTACAGGTATTAGTTAATGTTGTTGGCTAAGCACCAATTTTCACAAGACAAAACGAAAAAAAATAATAGCTAAAGACTCGGTATATAGTAAGAGACTTCTCAGGGTCTGGTTTATTCATGTTGGTAGCCTTAGCGGTAACATAGCTGATATGTGTTTGCGTAGTCCTCTAGGATGCACAGGTTGTCTTTAAGTATATGCTTAATATGCAGAATAATAATACCTGCAACATTTGTAGGTGGAGGTAACAGTTCACTGGATTAAGAGGCTGAACGTTCTGGCCAATAGACAACAGCAATTGAAGATACTATTCTAAGAAGTTTGCAGTGCTTTAAGTCCCCATCCCACTGGCTCAGGTATCACCTGGAATCAACAGAAAAGTAAGAGTGTAGCAGCAGTGGTACACTAATTTACATCAGAGAGTTAGTATCACTTATTTGATGTAGGAAATGGGAGCTTGCAGTACTGATGACAAAAGGTTGAGGCATTCAGTGCTAGCATAAACTATCCTGGCTTTTCCTGACAGCTCCTGTTCTTCATTTCCAGAGAAGCATTTCCAAGACACAAGATTTGTATCCTGCTGCTACATGCTTTCTACACACAGTGCTTAAGGGATAATCCCCAATGCACTGTAGTATACGAAGCAATAAATGGCTGCTGAGATTAATAGACTGAGCAAAGCTGAAGCATTTAATCAATCTCCAAAAAGTACTCGTTGCCAGAATATTACAATCAAGAGAATTTATTCCTCATGTACAACAAACCTTAGCAGGGAACAGCAAAATTTCTGTTCACCAGTGAGGACTTGAACTGCTGAGCCATCCTCTTTCTGAACAAGACACCTCACTAAGAAGTGGAGATGTGGGGATTGACTCCAGTCATAACCAAGCAGGAAACATGTACAGGCTTAGACCTGACTGGATAAGTGTGCTATGGGTAATGTTTCCATCTTTTACATGGAAGAGATAACGTCTAATTTCTCTGTGCCATGATATCTTTATTTAAGACAGAAGAATAATAACAAGTATTAGAGCCTTTTCTTGGTGTAAGAAAGAGCAGAATACGAAGAGACTTTGGATCTTACTGATCCAGCCCAACTTAGGTACAATTTATAGCAGCTGCCAATTTAACTGCTGCAATTTAACAGCATTGCTTTAAAGATCTTAACTGTGCATCAGCAGGGACTACTAAAATGAGGTTACTCTGATAGACCTTGATGGATACCTTCTAGCATTTAGGTGGTAGAACACTAACAGGGGCAAAGAGCTCCTGTCTGACAGGGAGCTCTTGTACGAACACGACCTACATATGCCTCACCAGCACAAGGGTCAGCTGTCAGGCTTTCTGACTTCAAAAGTTCTCTGTAGGTTCCCAATTTCTCATAGAAACACATGTAGTGACCTGCCTCAGAGGACATCACATTCCTGTTCCTGCCCTGAGCCATCAAAACAATCTACAGAGTTCAGCAAGTCACTCTCAAAAGAAATTAATATTTCACACCAATGATTAATATAAAGGTGTGAACCCTGAGGGGGCAGGAAGAAGATGCAAATACCTTTCTCTACCCCTCCCCTCTTCACTCACATGCTTTCTTCTGTATCCTTACATTATACGTGTATTGGTACGTTCCAACATCTGATCAAATGGAGAGTTAGAATTTTTACTACAAAACTACTTACTTGTTATTGAACATGGTGTGAAAAACGTTGCTGCATGGATTGGATACTCTAGGAAATGCTGGTACCACACGGCATCTCACAGTGGATTCAACTCACTTTGTTTGCACCTCTTCCATAGATGCCATACATTTTCCTCCTATTCTTCCCCCGACTGTTGTTGCTGGTTGTCGCAGTTGTACATGTCCCCTACCACAGTCTCTTCCAGCCCTTTATAATTATCAGACTGTTGGTGCTAAACACTTGAAAAAAATCATACATGTTAAAGGAAATAGATAGTCAGTGGTCACTTGAAAATCTCTATGTGACCAGCTGATGCTTGCTAAAGCTTGTGTAAGAACACAGATAAAACATCCCTGCTTCAGACTCAGCTGCTTCAAAAAGCAGATCGATACACTGGATTGAATCTGAATCAGGTTTCTAATACTAATCTTTTCCAATTCACAGAGAGGGGAAAACCATAAAATCACAATAAAGAAGATAATGGCTGCTCATTTGTAAGAACTTTGAAAACAAACAAACAGACAATAAGCAAAACCAGATTTACCTTGCCATAAATCCAAGGTAATCTGATTTTCTCTAGTATCTTTGTAATGAATTCTCATTAGTTTACAGATAGCGTCATGGCACTTAAGTGGATAATGTTACATGCCATCGTTTATCTTTCTTCACACAGCTGATGGATGCTCACAGTGTCCTTAGGATGTTCTTATTTTTGAACTCCACGTGACTGAAATATGTATTAACTTTCAATCTTTCATGTAATGTTGTAAAGTCATAATGATTTTTAATGGGTGCAATTAAGAAATTATTTATTAGAACAATACACTGATTGATCTGAGCTGTCAGTTGCCCAAATAAGTTATATGGGAGGAAGGGCTTCCTTAAGGCTTTATTATGGGTTTCATATGCTGAGGAGAGCCTCCAGATTTTGTTTACACCAGCATAAATTTGGAGTAAAGTTCAGTGTCAGGTATGTTATGTTTCCATCTGTAGAATAAGATCCCCAGGAACATTTCAGAGCAGAAGGAACTCTAGATATACTTACTTTTCACAAATATAGTACAGTAGGCACAGTTGTGAGTTTTATTTCTTTTGCTTGAAAAAGCCTTTGGGAGTTTTCTGGAGCCAATTAGGTTCATCAATCACTCCCAGTCCTGAGACATTTAAGAGATGAGTTACAGCAATTGGCATTGCTAACTTGAAATGGCTTAATGTTGCAAGTTTTATTCTCTAATTCAGAAAACCATAGTTTAAGACTATCTCCACATTTCAGACATGTATTTTACAGGTTTCCTGAAAAACACTGTCATCAAATTTACATATGTTCCCATGAGAACTTAAGGGATGGAAAATGTCATGCTAATGTAAAGAAACTGATTTTGACTGTGACAATCCATAACTAATTTGAAGAAATATCACCAATTAGTTTGAACCCAGAGCTTGACTTGAGTCAAGCTATTTTGCTATGAAAAGAAATTATTTTGTTATGACAAGAACTGTGGTTTTCATCTTAAAATCACATTTTAACCTTTTTCTTTTTTTCCAAGGAAAGAACATCCACTGCTTTTTCGCTGAAAAAATAAAATAAGCTCTAACAGAGTAACCATTTAAATGTGTAATATTTGAAGTGCTGTTGCAAAGAGAAGAGCTGCCTATGTGGAGAAAACAAATTAACAACTGGAAAGCCAGTCCAATTCTTTATTCCATTGCTGAGTAAAGATACTTAGATGAGACCGTATATCTTGCTTCCAGAGTACCATTGACTTTACTGATTACATTGCAGATATTCATGAAAGAATAAAACAACAACAAAACCCCATAAAACAAACCAACATCAAACCCCAAAGTAAACCACATGATATGCTTATGGCATCGTATCCTTTTGACATATGAGCCATAAAAAGCATAGAAGGGGTAAAACATTATTCTTACTGACTTCACTGGGAATTAGGTCCTTAAAAGAATAGACAGCACTGTCAGAACTGAGGTCACTCAGTCCTGTCCCACATATTTAAAGGAGAGTCTTGCCTTCTGAGAAAGACATCATATTTCTGATTTCTTTAAACTGTACTTAAATATTTACAGCAAGAGAAGTGGATTTGATACTGCTAGATGCAGAAATTGACAACGTAGTAAAATAAGTGTGAAGCTCACTGCAGCCAGAACAGTGGTGCTTTATTCTGACTGCATATTAATATTTTTCTACCTACTTTGCAAAAGATGTAATATATCAGGTACAGGGTAACATGGGCACCAGAGAGAGCCCCAGTTAGCCGACTTTACTAATTCAGTGAACCAAGAGCAAGACCCTTTCTGTGCTAGTGCCGTCTATTTTCAATGAGGTTTGCTCTGACACATTTACTCTAATGGGAGCTTTTTAAAAAGTGAAACACGTCTTTCCCAACCTTTTCTAGGTACATATATGGCCATCTAATTGCTCCATGAAGAGCTTTTTGTAATCTAAGTTTTCCTGTTCTTAGCTTGAGGCCATTTCTTCTTGACCTGCTATTTTCTGAGACTAAGTAATGCCCTTCTTTCATTTATGCTGTTGGCTTCATAGTATTTATAAACCATGACGTTTCTCCCTTGAGTTTGCACTATGTTAAACAATACAAAATTTGCCTTATACATTCTGCACATGTTCTATGATTCTATGAATATTCCTGTGGTCAGTTGGGATCAGCTGTCCCAGCTCATGTCCCCTCTCAACTTCTTGTGCACCCCCAGCCTGCTCACTGATGGGGTGGTGTGAGGGGCAGAAAAGGCCTTGACTGTGTAAGCACTGCTCAGCAATAACAAAACCATTCCTGAATTATCAGCACTGTTTCCAGCACAAATCCAAAACACAGCCCCATAGCAGCTACTAAGGACAAAATTAACTCTGTCCCAGCCAAAGCCAGCACACAGGTCTAAAATATTTTTGTTGCCCTGGACCATATTTGAGGGTTCTTTTTATGGGTGCACAGATTTTTACACTGTGTGAATTGGAACAGCTCATAATTTCAGGTGTGGCTGCTACCTGAGCCGTGCATAATCACCTTAACTCAAGATTTAGCTATAATCCTCTCCTTTGATATATAACCATGAAAACCTTTAAACTTTGTTGCTGCACTGAAAATTTTATTTGGTTTCTTACTGTTCTGGTAAATCCTAATCCAGCCCCAAAGAAGACTTGATACTAAAGCTACTTAGCTGATTTGGAGAAAAAAGGAGAACTGAACTATCCTATGGCCAAAATAGCATGGAAGAGACAAAAAAAAAAAAGAAGAGAAACAAAATGACCTGCATATATGCAATGTATGCAGTTTTTCTAAGTACTCCATCTTTGTTTTTTCCTGCAGACCTTGCATTGAGATCCAGGCCTTGCCCAAATTAGAGTGCAGCAGCTACTTCAAGAAGGCAACAGCAGACCTCTGCAGAGGACAAAACAAGCATTCCTGAATAAAGTATTTCAAATGAGCATGACTGGAAATCACATGAAGTGTCCTAATGTTTGCATACCACATTACAAAGGATATCATTCAGCTACCAATTAGAAAGGATCTTATCAGGCTTTTAAAAAACGATGCACATTTTACACGCCGCAGATTCCTCTAAAAGGCAGCAGGAAAAAATGCTCTAAATACTGATACAGGAAAATTCTCATGAACATCCTTCCTACACTGTAACCATCAAAGGCGTTACTCTGGGTAATTGGTTTTTGTCATAAGGTATTATATCTTCCTGCGTATTTTCAAACCATAGAAACATAAAGTAATGTAAGATCTTTTCACCACTGGCTTCTCGGGAGATCAATCTGTTCCCCTCAGCCACTGAGCAGTGTTTCTGCAGGAGCCCTTACATCTGTGTCACTGCAGTTCTTTCTATTTAACCCCTTCTGGAAGCTCATTTATAAACCATTGCTAGCATGGCAAGTAGAAGTACACTTACCTATTTCAACAAACCTCCAGCTTTTCTGGCTCTCCAGTAGCCATTTAATCTTCAGGCCCTCAGGAGATGGGAATCTAGCAGGTTTGGAGAAGATTTCCCAAACTGTCTCTGTTAACCTTATTATTTTGTGTTAAGGTCAGTGCCCTCCATGGGGCAGAGGTACAGGAAACAAATACACAGCAAATTGCTGATATATGTTACTTGACATTGTGTTTATAAGACTGCTGCTCATCCCTTTACAGCCTGCTACCAGCACAAACCAAGCCTGCTGCTATTATCAGTCTAGAGATGATGCGACACCACCAGTCAGTAGGTTTTTCTAACCCACTAGGACAAAACGATGCATATTAAATCTCTCTCTACCCAGGGATGGATTTCAGTATCTTGCAGTCTGTCACAGCAAACATTGCAGCCCTGTTGGTGGGGATGTTAAAGGTTTCCCCCTCAACTGAGTAGAGAGAGTGCTGCAGTTACAAACAGCAGCTCAGGCAATCAGTTCCAATTAAAGAGTAATTCAGTGACAAATAAAACTCCAGGCATTACTGAGTTCCCATTCTGGCAAAAGAAAAAGAAAAGAAAAAAAAAGAAAAAAAAAAGACTTCCAAATATATCAGCTCTACTTACAGTATTTCATTATTATTAATTAGGATACTCAGGCAAAGCAGACCAAGCCTTTATTAGCTGAAGCAGCAGTTTGGGAGAGAATGGAGTTTTATTTCTCATTGATTAAGCAATAGATACAAGCTGAACCAGTAACCCCATGTGAAGGGTATTAGAGCTGAATGCGTAGCAGATTTGTGTGAAGTGTTATGGCTACGGGACAGATCGATCTATATATGTTGCCCAGGGTAAAACTGCATGAATGACTCTGAAAGGAGAATGCTGTTGTATCACATGGCAGATAATTGTTAATTTATCTTAGTGTGAAATCTTTTCACACCTCACATAAAAATGTCACTTTTGTGGGAAGGTTGATGCAAGAATATTCCCTTTCAGGGCACTGATGGGGCAAAGTTCCACCTTTTGTGTGGAAAAACTTGACATTTATTCTGTGGACTTCAGACTAAGAACTGCCCTTCCTTTGCTAACTCCTGCTCTGCCAGAAGTACCAAGCCTGTACCTGGAGAAACGTCCTGCCATGAATGATGACACCCAGTCCTGTGTCCACTGGCTGCACAGCACCTGAAGAGAAGCTCTAGAAAATCCAGGCCTGTGGTCCTCAGATGTCAGCCTTGCCCAGTGCCTAGAAATAACACTTCTGTAGAGTTGCTGGAAGAAGGAGACGCTTGTTCAGAGTCTGGTGCGGCCATACCGGTTTAAACCTCTGATGAAAATGAATTTACAATGCATGTCTGCTCTGGCATTGCAGTGGCTGAGGTGCAAACATTTTAATGCTGACACTGCTGTGAGAGGATCTGCAAATAGAGCATCCTAAGCTGTTCGCCTCAGGGAACGTGAGTCAGGGTGCTTAGATTGCACTGGTTTCTATTAATTGCTTACTTAACTCCAAAGAGCCAGACATGGCTATTTCATTTAAAGTTACGTTTTTACAAACTTAAAATAGAATAAAATCTAGGTTGTAGCAGGAGGTGCCTAAAAACTCATTAGACTTCATTTCCCAATGTTGTAATGTGATGTGAGAATGAAATGATGGCAGATACGGAGCCACACGTATGAAAAAATCCTCTCTTGAACGTTCCCTTTGCCCAATATTCAGGCCGCACATTTGATGTGAATGTCACAGTCTTCACGGAACAGATCTTGCCCCAAAGGTTCAAGCTCTGTCTTGCATAAGCATAAAAATAAATTATAAGTAACACTTCATAAACTAGTAAGCTTACACTGTGTCCTGCTTCATTTTCCTAAAAAGCCAGGAATGCAAATACCCATCTGGATGTAAAGAGGGTTTGAAATGGCTACAGGACAGATTTCCTGAGCAGACAGAGGCATCTTCTTTGTTTGTGGTCTGTGACTTTTACTCTTGTATAAACTTCATAGCTGGGGCCAGCTGTAGCAGAAAACGGTTACTAAAATCTGCTTTGTGCTTCAGAGAATGAATGATCTTGGTCAATAACGCTTGGGACTTTCTTTTATTGTGTGCTGCAAAAGCAGCCTGGGATGCAACTGAATTGTTGAGGCAGAAAGCAGATATTTTCTCACTGCCTGATTTGTTGGTTGTTGCATGGCAATCAGTGGATCCCATTTTACTTTATCGTTTCCAAGTGAAATTCTCCTGGAGTGGAGCCTAATCTGTGCTTGGGAATAATGACCTGTGCAAACACAAGCAGAATTTCACACTGCAAAACAGAGACTCCCGTGAGCTGTTAAGAGATGCAGGTGTTGAAAACCAACCCTGGAAGCAATTTTTAAACGCCCAAAGATGCATTGTTCAAGCTTTAAAAGCCCTGCTGCACTACAATATGGCATAGTCACTGGCTGTTGCAGTCCTGTGTGAGGATGCAGAACACTTCACTGCAAATTCCAGCCTCCAGGCCTGAACAGAGGCTCTCCAGTGCACTTCTTTTACAGTGATTTGGGGTTGAGCCCAAGAGCAGCACAGAGTCTGTGTAACTTCATCTCCTGCAGGCGGAGTCTAAAGCAGTATTAGCAGCAGACTGCACTGGCCTGTAGGAAACTCACAGTGCTGAGGGATTTTCAACACCACCTGCCAAAACCCCTGATGGTCCAACCTTACCCCAACAGGGAGATGGAGGAAGGAGAGGGAGATGTAATGGCAGATGGCAACCCACAAGGAGGTGAGAACTACATGCTGCACTTTGGCACTTGGTGGCAAGGACAACTTTACAGTAACCTAGTTTGCTTATGAATTGGATGAGGATTACTTGCCACTTTTCTTCCCCCCATCATTGCAAGGCACACACAGAATATTTAATTAATTAATTGACTTAGCTCTGGGAAGCTGTATTTCTGATGCTGACAAGACATAAGACAACTGATTTCAATATAGCTAAGCCAGACATTGTGTTGTTTCAGGCTTTGCTACACTTTCCATGTGAAAATGAGCTGGGGGACAAATGCCCCAGAAATGTGCAGAAATTCAGCAGAGGTTTTGCTATGCTTTCTGCATGTCTTTGCCATCAAACAAAAACATGTTTGATGGATGGTTGCCGACAGGTAAAGGGAAAGAAAATTTGACTTTCTCACGTGTTTTCCAAAAAATGGTTCTCCTGTCTGGTTCTATGCACTAAAATTAACTTGCCATCTAAATAGATATTATCTAAATTAATTGTGCTGTCTCTGTGTAGTGTTTCCCCAAGGAATGCACTGAAATGCTGCTATATCTTTGTCTGTTCCTGGATTGAGATATCAATTAATTATATGAATAAGCCTAGGAAAACAGAAGTAGGTTTCTGTCTTAATTCATGTGAATAATGGGGGTTTATGTCTCATGTGTGCAGCTTGTCAGTGGTGACCTGGTCCGCTACTCCTGGTTGGTTGGGGCAGATGCAAAGAAGAAACAGAGTCATGCAGGGAGGGAAGGGAGACACATGCATAATGTGAGGCATCGCAGCCAGCTCCTGGCAAAAGCCATACAGGCGCCAGTGGTGCGGTGGGCACAGGCACCCTCGTGGGTCCTGGCCGCAGGGCCGTCATCTTCGTGCAGTGCTGCTCTGGGGTTAATTTAGCCTGGCTTTGCATGAGCCAGTTACGCCAGGCTTAGTGCACTAATGCTGCTACCTCGCTTTCTGCTTAGGGCTCACTCATTAGGTGATCATATGGGGATGCTTGTCCTGCCTGATGTAGCTACATCCCACACAAACTGGAGCCTGGTGGAAAGCCTTTGGACAAAAGGCAAGGCTCAGAGTTCAAGATGTTGCTTTTTGAAACTCCTGGACAAACAGGACCCCTTTTCTGATCCAGCAAATGGAAATGTGAATGCTCTGCACTGTAACATATTCTTTATGATTAAGATGGACATGGCAGGTTTGTTTTCTCCTTGACTAGCAGTTTGCTCATTTTCAAGGCATCTCCAGGATTTATAGCTACAGGAAGCACTTCCTTATTGACACTCCTGTTCTTCTTGTGATGTGGAAAGCAAACACCTGAATTACATAAGCTTACTTTGTCTCTAAACTGAGGGGAAGGTAAATGCGCATTTTCTCTACCTCTAGCTTACTTATTATATATCTGTATAGAAAATCATAAATATTTGGTTGGAACAAGAAATGAGTACTTAGTATTGTTTAAGATTGCTAATACTGCAGACTGGAGTTGCAGTGGCTATTTTATGCTGCTCACCAGGGAACGCTTTATACTCCTGCAATACGCCTATTGCCAATGTGCCTGTTTAAAAAGGAAAGGGACTTTAACGTTTGAAAAACAGACCTTACTTTAGCAATGACCAGTAACGTTTACATTTCAAAACTCAGCCTTGATTGGAAAATAACCATATTCCAGGAAAGTAGGTGTTAAAATTGCTTGTACGTTGGGTCAAAAACTTTCTCGCTTTGTATGTTTTACAAGCTCCTGTAATTCACACTCAGACGAGCACGCTGAGAAGGGTTCAGGTGTTTGCTTCTCACTACACAAGAAATTCTTTCAGGCACAGCTGGGATTCACCAAGCTCCTCAGTTTCCCATCGCAGGGGTGATGGAGCCCAGAGCCCACAGGAGGGAAGCAGCACTGTTTCTAACATGGGCACACCTCAGAAATGCTCAGGCTGTGCTGTTGGCTCCTCTGAATTAAATGTGGAGCAACTCACTGACTTCACAGCTGCTGCCTTGCATTGCCCCTGACTGACTGAGAGCACGACTGGGTTCTGTTTACCAGTCACCTTGCTGACTTTGCACAATGGTTTTGCTTGAAATGATGAACAATGCCCGTGTAGTGTAAATTCCCGGGGGGCTGCAGCAGACTCTATCAAATCTGTCAGAGCTATTAAGGCATCTGGGAAATTTTTTATTGCCATACTTTACACTTTAACAACTTTGACACTTAATTGCAAAGGAGTTTGCTTTAAGAGACTTCTAATTCCAGAAGACAGCCAGATAGTACTGAAGTTTAGTCACACAGTTAGTAATGAAGACTGAAGAGATTGATGAACAGGGAGGATATTCTCCTCTCTGCAGTCTACACAAAGGAAAAAAGATTCAACTTAGCACCAGCATTCCATAGCTATTTTTCATATGCCATCTATTGACCATGGCAGGGAGATCCTACTTTTGAACCAGACAGCCCACGTTCCACAAGCAGCTTTTACCTTTATGAAGAGCAAAAACATATTTAAACCTGGATGACCCTAAAACTTTGCTTAGGAGTGCTGTAATTAGAACTTGTGTCTCTTTACTTCAAGCTTAAAATCTCCTTAGCAAACCGGGAAGCTTGGCTCTAAAATCAAGATTCATGTTAAGATGCTGTGCTGGTTACACTCTGCATTTGTCAAAACAATCGAACCAACACTGATAAGAAACCAGAAACAAGAAGAGAAAAATTGGCCAAATTCCTTTACCCAAATATTTTTACAGCATGAAAATTGAGCTAATAATGCTTCTGCCTGGTTAACAGCTGTCAAAGGATGAAAAATAAGCTAAAGGGAATGTAG